CTCAACCCAGGAGCTGTCCCGTGGTGGTCAGTGCGCTCTCACGGGGGGAGCACCACTCAACCAAAGCTGGGCTCACAGCTGGCGAGCGCAGTGGTGGTGGTGGGAGCCTCTCCTGTCTCTGAGGCAGCCCTAAGGATGTCCGACAGCCGGCTCAGGCTTGCTCCCCGTGGAGAGCGGGCCTAAGCCATCAGTCGGACATCACCTGAGGGCTCCCGGACTGTGAGAGGGCACAGGCCAGGCTAAGCGACCCCCCTGAGGGCACAAATTTTGTGCACTAGACCTCTAATATAAAAGTAAATTGTAAAACTTCTGGTTACAGCCCTGATATGTACAGAGCTTAGAAGACATCATTCCCATTGTTAGAAGAAAAAGATGACTAAACTGAAAATCAAAGACTTTTTGTGAAAACATCAGGATAGTGAGGTGCAGAGTGTGTTGGCACCCTAGAATATGAGAAGAAAGGCAAATACAGAGTCACAACTGAGGTATGCTGACCTGGAGCAGAAGCCTCTTAAATCATAAATGATTAAAACATTTAAATGATAGTGATCATGCATTACTAGAAGCTGAGTGTGCAATAACATGAGAGTGAGAAGATCCTAGGGGCCACATACTTCAGCGTGTTTACATCCAGTAACCCTATTTGGTTCTCACAGTGAAGATCTGAAAAAGCATCCCTTGTGCCTCTGACACAGAAAGAGGAATTATTGTAAAATATGTCCAGAGCCTTCCCCATAATAAGGCTTACTCTTCAAGTGAAAAGACTTTACCAGAGCTTATCCCAGCTGGGGAAGGACATCCCTCCTACTTTACTACCTCTAGCCTCCCGGTTTCACATAAGTAGATTAAAAAATTATCAAAGTTATATCATTGGAAAACACAGGTAATAACAGAGCCAGAGATAAAGATACACTAAAAGACTGAGATTTACTAGTAAGTATATGACTGTGGAATATGTTCCCTCCCCCTCTCCTAACCAGCAGACTACCAAAAGACAAGGATAATCACAGTGAATTACAACAGAGAGCTGCAGGTATGAGGAATGTAGTAACTCTAGTATCCTCATAATTTTCTGTAAATCTGAAAGTGTTCTAAAATACAAAGTTTATTTTAAAAACAATTGTATTTTCATATTCAAAAATAGATAATCAGAAAGTGAAATTTTAAATTCCATTTACAACAGCATAAAAAAACAGGAAATACTTAGGGAAAAATATGACCCGAAAAAACTTAAGACTTGTACACTAAAAATAATAAGATAACCTATGGCCGTGGTCGGCAAACATGGGGCTCTTTGGCCCCTTCCACAAAATACCACGTGCGGGCGCGTACAGTGCGATTGAAACTTCGTGGCCCATGCCCAGAAGTCGGTTTTCGGCCTGGGCGAGTCTATTTTGAAGAAGTACTGTTGATATTTGGCTCTGTTGACTAATGAGTTTGCCGACCACTGACCTACTGGAAATTAAAGATCTAAGGAAAAGAAAAGACATGCTGTGTTCATGAATGGAAACATTTGATATTCTTTAGATGTCATTTCCCCAATTTCAATCAAATTCCAAAGCAGGCTGTTTTTATATGTATGAAGCTAATTCTAAAGTTAAAATGCAAAGTAACTACAATAGCTAAAAGAACTTTGAGAAACAACAAAGTTGGAGGACTAGCATTACCTAATTTGAAGACTTAAAACAGAATAATCAGGAGTGTTGTATTTGGCATCAAGATATATAAATATGTTCATCACACAAAATAGACAACCAAGAAACAAACCTACACATATATGGACAACTAACTTTCTACAAAGGTGGAAAACAATTCCATGTAGAAAGGATAGTTTTTCAACTAAATATCCATATGCAAAAAAGTAAACTTTGATCTATATCTAGTACTATACACAAAAAGTAACTTGAAATGGATCACAGATCTAAATATAAGAACTAAAACTACAAAACTGCTACAAGAAAACATGGGAGAAAATCTCAGTTACCTTAGGCTTAATGATTTCTTTAAAAGAACACAGAAAGCTAGATATGAATTTCTGAAAATCAATAAATTTTATTTAATCAAGAACATATACTCCTTTGCCGAAACCGGTTTGGCTCAGTGGATAGAGCGTCGGCCTGGGGACTGAAGGGTCCCGGGTTCGATTCCGGTCGAGGGCATGTACCTGGGTTGCGGGCACATCCCCAGTAGGAGATGTGCAGGAGGCAGCTGATTGATGTTTCTCTCTCATCGATGTTTCTAACTTTCTGTCTCTCTCCCTTCCTCTCTGTAAAAAATCAATAAAATATAGTTGATTTTTTTTTAAAAAAGAACATATACTCCTTAAGAGACACTGTTAAGAAAATAAAAAGACAAGCCATAGACTGGGAAAAATATTTGCAAAACACATACCTGACAAAGGACTTATACCAAAAAAACCTTTCACGACTTACTAATGATATAAATAACTCAATAAAAGTTTGCAAAAGATTTAAACAGATACTAAGGAAAGAAAGTATATATATATAGCCCATAAGCACATGAACAGATGCATGAAATCATTAGTCATTAAGAAAACAAATTAACCACAATACATACCTATTAGAATAGCTAACATTAGATTCCGCACACCAAGTGTTGGTGAGGATATGGACCTGGAACACTGATACACTGGTGGCGCAAATGTAAAATAAAATAGTGCAACCACTTTGGAAAAAAGTTTACAGATTCTTCCAAAGTTAAACAAATATCCATCACATGAGTTAATCACTCTATCTACCCTTCAGTATTTATCCAAGAGAAATAAAAGCATTTGTTCATACAAAGACTCACAGAAAAACATTCAAAACAACTTTATTTGTTTAGTCCCAAACAGCAATCAATGAAAATGTCTATGTGGTATATCCATGCAATGGAATACTATTCTGTGACAAACAGAAATAAGCTCTTTATTATATGTGATGACATGGATAAATCTCAGAATAGTTACGGTGTGTAAAAGTAGCCTGACAAAAGAATGTATACTCTGTGATTTCATTTATATAACATTTTAAAAATACAAACAAGTTCCTATGATGGACAGCAAATCAGTGGTTGCCTAGGGATTATCAAGGTAGGGTGTGGTTATAGAAGGGTATGACGAAACTTTTGGGAGTGCTGGCTAGGGCTATTATCCTGATTGTGGGATCATTTTATAGGTACATAAAGATGTCAAATCTGATGAAATTTCAATATCAGTAAAACAAATGTACACCAAAAAAATCTCCAATTACACACCTATCGGTTAGAATCTATTCATATATATAAAAGCCTAAGCAACCAGTTGACCGGTCGCTATGACCACAAGAGGGCAGATGCTTAATTCAGGAGCTGCTCCATGGTGGTCAGTGCTTCCACAACACAAGCGTTGCTCAGCTCACTGATGGGCACCAGATGCCAGGCTCAT